TGGACCTCTTTGGCAGTCTGATGATGCCCATGGACCTTTTCTCAGAATATTTTAAATAGTTGAAGGAAATGCTAAATTTCAGTTAGAAATTAATGAAAATTAAGATATAATCTTTTACCCATGCAAGTTTATGGATCCCCTGAAATTTGTCCACGGTTCATGGACTTCAGGTTAAGAACTCTTTTTCTAGTCTGATAAAAGGGAAACATTAGATGTGGGCTCATGAACTATGGTTTTGAATAGATTCCTATGCAAAGAGTAAGCTTTGTAGGGGGCTATATTAGAAAGGGGCAGGCAGAGATGAGACAGTAATATGCCTAATTTTGAACATGTTGAGTTTGACTTTTCCCTTTATTCCTTTGGAGGAAAGGAGAATGAGGAGGTAAAGCCAAGGCAAGCTGTGTTAATCCATTGTATGCATCAGGAAAGCATAAAACCCAAAGATTCATAACTAAATCCTAGAACACAGTGTTTTCTTCCCACAGTTGTTTGTTTTTACCCAGAAGAAGGAGGGAACAAACTCTCCAGAAAGACTACTGGAAAGGGGAGAAAGGGTCACAAATAATTCAGTAAAGAATCCTTACAGACACTTTTACTGGTTAGCTGTGGAGGGAACGACTTCTTAGACTACTCTGGTTTTTCAATCATACCTGCCCTTGAGGAGAGCAATCAACATCTTCAAATTCCAAGGTCAGCAACATGGATACACAAATCTGCTTGGAAGGAGGAGAGGACAGGAAGGAGGGAGAAAGGGCAGATGCATGTGGAATAGCTTGTCTTGAGACAAATGTTGATAGAAATGTACGTCATTCTTAGGTTTTGTAGACAAAAACGTGCTTTGCTTTTACTATGTTGGCAATGGTTGGACTTAATTGATATGTTAACATAGTACTTTTCTCAAGAATTTCAAGGTAGAAAATAGTGCAAAGGCTCGACTTTGCTGGAGGAGCTCACTGGAGCACAGAACTTCCCAAACTGTTCTTGGGAATCTTGATGTCGTACACGACCTAATTAGGAGCTACCCCCTTGGTCCAGCTTGGCAGGGAAGCCCTTTGACATCCCTTCCTGTCCTGTCAATGCCTCCCCCTAGGAGATAGCACAACCCAGGGTATGATATATTCTTCCTTCCCCTCCTTCACTTTTCCACTTTCTATCAATTTGAGAGTCATGCATTCCTTTTTCCCCCTCCAACCAGATCCTTTCTTTGTCCCTTCCAGCAAATACAAAAGAACACTCCAGGGAGTCATAGAATTTCGAACAGGAAGGAACCATCTGGTGCTGAAAACCTTCATTTACAGATGGGGATACCGAGGCCCAGAGAAATTAAGTGTCTTACCGAATCTCACCTAGGTAGTAAAAGGGGAAGAAGGAACCTGTGAACACAGATCACCTGACTCTCAAACCAGTGCTCTTTCCATTTGGCTGGGAATTAAAAAAAATCCTTGGCCAGGCACTCAACTTTTATAACTTCTCTCTGGGAATGCTCAGGAAGGCAGTCTGACATCACCTGCTTGCCTTATTTTAATTCCATGACTTTGTAAAGCTTCTGCACAACACATTTCTGCTGACAGAAACGCAAACTCTCCCACACACATGGTGGGGCCAATTAGGCTTGGCAGGAAAGCCAAGGAAACCTTTCTTCACTAAAGTGAAAAAAGGATGAAAACAAGTCCGCAGTAACTTTCATGGAGTTCCTTCCTCTCTGGGAGAACAATGTTCTATTTGCCCTCATGACTGGTAATCCTCCCCACCTTCCCGCACTCCCTTTAAATAGATGTTCTTGATGTAATATTAGCTTCTGTTTACATGAAACTTTATGGTTCCCTGAATACTTTATGGACATTATTTCAGGTATTATTAAAAGTTGAAGGTAAAAAAAAAATGAAGGTTATGCATCCATTTTTCAGATGTAGAAACTGAGGCACAGGTAGGTTAAGTGATTTCATATGGTTAGTAAAAAGCAGAGCCAAAAGTCTTACCCCTGTGGCATGCCCATTTTCTTCAAGGCTTATTATCATTGGAGTAAAGAAGTCCACTTGACTCAAGATTTTTCCATATTCATTTTTATTTAAAGACTCAGAACACAGTCATCATAGTTCATTTGTAACCATCACTGTCAATGTTTCTTAAATCACACGCTGACACTCGGGTATAACAAAAAAAAACATTTTCTGAGCTGTGCAAAGTACAAAGGAATTGTTCAGAGTCAGTTAGCCAAGACCATTCTGAGTAGCACAAACTTGGCATTTTGTAAAATGACATTGATGTTTGCCAGAAGAATGCTTTTTGCTTTGAAGGTAGGAAGTGCATGCACATTGTCTACTTTGCATATCTTCCCTTCCTTGCATTCACTTTAGACAGCGGGCTCAGGCTGCAGCTCATCCCTGCTGGAAGTGCAGGATGTCCTTGGCAGCCCAGGACTCCACTTACATCATTTGATGGTTGGTTATACATTCCAGACTGTGCTGCTGCTCAAATGGTATCAGTTTGGCCAACAACGGCAACAACAATGAAAAATTACTCAACAATTAAAACAAACGAACCATTCAGTCAAACCAGAAACAGGGGCTGCAAATAAGGTGTATGGTTTCAATATATCAAACACCAAGACATACCATTACAGATTCTTCAAGGCAAGGTAACCCCCACCCTCCCCACCCCCCCAAAAAGGTGACACTTTGCTCTTGTTTTTTGTTGTTGTTTTTGTGGTTTAAGTTTTCATTAACTAGGACTGTCACAAATGTGCTCAAAACACTGATTGCAAAACACTGATGCTGGTTGTGTATTTCCTCCTTCCCCAATTGCTCTGGCTTTGGTCCTATGAGATTAGGAGCCTTCTAAAGTTTGCAGTCTGGGACTCTTGGAGGTGAGGGTGACGACTAAGAGGTCTGCAAGGAACCAAAATATCTTCTTTTTTCATTTTTTTAAAATGAAGACAGTAATTGCCATTCTCCTCCCTCCCTCCTCACCCAATAAAATATCCCATTTGTTGGTGTTAGGCATAACCAACTCTCTTAATTGTTATCTCATGGGCTAATTGAGTATCCATTGTGTAAATCATCCAGGTTTCCTTTTTGGCTTGGAGTCTCAAGGCCACACTTCTGCTTTTTAGCATCACATGGGCAGGAGCAGAGACAGAAAATGCAATTCACACCAGATTCTTCCTTTTCTTGTTAGCCACTCTCCTCATAGGATATTTGGGAAGGGTGAAAGTAAGTTTTTTGAATTATCTGAAAGTATCGATTATTTGAACTTTCACTAGAGAGAAGAGTTGCTTGTGTTTATCATTTAGGTGTCTCTATCAATCAATACACATTTTGTATAGTGATATGATTTTTATATAAACACATATGCCTTTTTGGCAGTTTTTGCTTGCTAGTCAACTAATTTATCATCCCTGATGGAGATGTGCTGGTTTTGATCAATTCCATAGACAGTGCTCTCTATTTTTAGACCAGCCTCCCCCCCATTTTTTAAAGGAACAAATTTTTTGAATCTTCTATCAGCTGGAAAGAGGGAAAGAAGTTCTCTTCCTCCTGACAATAACAGGATCCTTTTGGTGTTGGTTACCACCCAACAGTAATAAATAGCCACTGAACCATCCAAAAATATGAGATCTGAAAATAACAGCTCAGTATTTCAAAGGCACCATGTCTGGCGGGAGGCTGACTGTCTGGAATTTGTTTGTCACATCCACGAAAGCCAAGGAAACCCTACGTTCCTAAGGACAAATTTATGCAGTTCAACCTAAGTTGGAGTGTTTGTTTTTAAGGATGGGGAACATATGGATTTTTATCTTTATATAGATGAAAACATATCATTTGGGAAGCGAGTCTCTTCAGAACAAGACTACCTTCGAGATGTGATCACTCAGGCAGTCTCAAATGGCTGATCTATAATCAGTGCTTCTGTGATGTACAGAAAAGTGAATATTTTTTCATAGATATTGTTTTTCTTAAAACCACTTGTTTTAAGACCCAATGCAATCAAAGCCTCCTGTCATCTTCCCCTTCTTCCACCCCTTCCTTTACCGCTGCCCCAGAGTCCTACAGAGCATTACTATTAGAAGTTCTTTTCCATGTTTGTGACACAAAATCGAATCTACTTGCTCGCCTTTTTTAGTCCCTGGTAGATGGAAGTCTGCACCACCTGGTAGAGAATGATATCGTTCATTTTCAATGAAATCTTAACCAAACTGTGAATCTGCACAATGCTTGAGAACTGTACATTTTTTAACAATAAGAGCTCACATTTTGAAATTGCTAATTACAGTCACTGACGTTTCCCTCTGATGGAATGAGAGGAAAACTCCGCCATCTTGGGCCAGTGTGGACCTGCAGTGTTCTTTTTATTGCCACGTAAAAGTCAGTTAAAATGGTTCCCTTCTACTGGAAATGCTCCCAATTCTTGAATAATTGTCACTGTCTAGACAGAGCATGGGGTGTTAGTAAGGGTTTAAGGAAATTGGCTTTTTTCAAGTCCTCTCCCCCTACCACCCAAATGGATTGCTCCCACTTGCTCCATGAAACATCAGCCAAGGTTTTGATCTCCAGGACATGGACTTGTTGGTATGCTCCAAAGTTCATATGGTAAATATAAAAACATCTACATGTTTGATGTCCCTCTCTCTCTTTCTTTCTTTCTCTCTCTCTCTCCTCAGACATTCTTTTATGCAAAACCAAGTCATTCATAGTTTTACCAAAAGGCAGCACCAGATGTATTAAAAAATAGGAAATGTATGACCTATTAGAAATATATAAAGTCTAATAGCTTTTACATAAAAAGGTATGCCATAAGAAAAAAAAGGTGATACTGGAGGGTAAAAACAAAAGTTGCTGCATATACTACTGTGAGGAGACACACAGAAAAGGATTCCCCGCCCCCCTCCCCCCAAAAAACAACCCAGAGCCACAAGGGGGATCTCTAGCTTTGGGGAGGCCCTGAGCAGGGCAGTTCTGCAACCTTCCCCCTTCCCCCCTCCAGATGAAAAACACCTCCCCTTCTCTGAGCACCCTTGCTGAAATGATTAGGCAGCAGATTACTGAGGTATATAGAAAGGGCGACGTTAACAATTTGGATTCCCCAGTGGATCCTCCAGGGCAATGCCTGAATGGGAATTCTCCCTAAATGTTTCTCCACCTACATCACTTCCTTCCAAAAGAAGCATCAAACCAACGTGGCTTGTTTCCAACGCTTCCTAGCAGCCGTCCTGGACCTCTCAAATCCATCTTGCATAGGCAGGAACCAAGAGCACTACAGCTCCGACAAAATAAGTTACAGCAATAAATCAACTTTCTTCTTATTTTCTTTTTAAAAGATATTTTCTCTCTGTAATTTACACAAAGGGAGTTGGCATTTAAGTTGAAATACAATCCAAAGCTGTGTTCTCTCAATTAGTGTCTAGCCCAGGTTCCTTTCCCCCTGGTCCAAGGCATCCCCTGGTTACAGAAACACAGCAGCGCAGCCCCGGGCCTTGAGAGCGGAAAGGCCTGGGAGTGTCTTTGGAAAGGACGGTGACGGTGGAGAACAGTGAAGCTTCCCTTTGTTTTCTTTTCTTGTGCTATGGAAATTTCCTCTGGAAGGTCTTTTGGTTTGGAGAATGGTGGTGGATGCTAGGGGGAGAAAGCCAGCCAGTCCTTATCAGAAACTTTCCACAAAGCTTCCAGGGAAGAGGCCTGTCCTGCCATTCCTCTGCAGTGTCCCTTTGTACCAGCCGTCCTCTCTCTTCTTGTGCACAAACACAATGTCTCCTTCTTTCAGCTCAATCTCGGCCTCACTCTGGGGAGGGTAGGAGACCACAACTCGGTACCTTGGAAATAAAACATCAGAATGGGTACAGGGATACAAGGAAAGAACCAACATGGACCTCATCATTGACAAGAGCATTCTCAAAGGGTCCCTTAAGAAAGGGAAAAAAGCACCATGATTAAAATGGAAGGGGTAATGGATTTCATAGCAGAAGACTTGGGTATGAAACCTGGCTTTGCCACTCATTACCTATTTGACCTTGGAAAAAATTATTTCACCTCTCTTGGCCTCAGTTTCATCATTTGTGAAATGAGGGTTGGAATAGATGATCTCTAAGTTCTTTTGAAGCTCTAAATCTAAATCTATAGTCTTGTGACCATTTTTTTTAAAAAGCAATTCAATTTGTAGTAGAAATCCAGTGCTGGACAGGTGATAGGTCCCACTCTACTCTACCTTGGTCTGATCACATCTGAGATACTACTGTATATCCACTCAGAGGGATACATTTTAAGAGGTTCATTGGTAAGTTGAAGAGCATCCAGGATGGTGAGAAGACCCAAAACCATGCATCTGAGGTTGATTAGTCTGGAGAAGAGAATATTTAGGTGGGACATGTTCACTATTCCCCAAATATGTGAATAGTTGTCATGTTGATGAGAGATTAGACTTTTTCTATGCCCTACCAAGCCTTGTGGATGGAAGTTACAAGAAGGCAAAGCTATCAAAAAAAAATGTACTGGGAAGCCTCACTAGGTAGGAAGTTTCCCATCAGTGGAGATTTCAAGGGGAGATCAGATGATCATTTTTCAAAGATGTTATAGATAGGATTGATGATTTGGTGTGTGGCTCTTTGATTGAATCCAAATGTCACCGAACAAATCCCTGGGGATTTGTTCAAAGTTTGTTCAAATTTGATTCAATCAAAGGGCTATAATCAAAGACCTAGAGGGCCACATGTGGCCTCAAGGCTGCAGGTTCCCCACCCCTGGACTAGATAATCTCTTGGGTTCCCTTATAATTCCAAGAGAAGACTTTCATGGATTTCAAGCCTTCCTTGCACCTCTGAAATTAGGTTATTTGGCATCTGTCTACTATATCTGTAAGATTGGTCCTTCTTCCCATAAGGATAAACCTCCGCATATCGATAATACTTAAAGAAAGGGATTGTTTAATGGGAACTTTGTTTGAGAATTATTCTAGTTTGTGTGATGACAGCTAAAATTTTGAATGCTATGGTGATGCTGATAATAATAATAATCTCTGACATTTATAGCACTTTAAGGTTTGTAAAGCACTTTACGTACAATATCTCATTTGATCCATACAATAACACTGTGAAGGAGGTGCTATTACTATCCCCATTATACAGATCAGGAAACTGAGAGAGGTTAATCCAATTAATAAGTGTCTGAGGTAGGACTGGAATCCAGGTGTTTCTGACTTGATGTTCAGGCTCTTATCACCTCTCACTCTTTCAATAGCCTTCTAACTGGTTTCCCTGTCTCAAGGCTCTAGTCATTTCAATTCATCTTTTCTTCAGCTGCCAAGGCAAATTTTTAAGTGTAGACCATGTCATTCCCTTATTCAATGAGCTCTAGTAGCTCCCTATTACCTTTAGGACCAAATTTAACCTTCTCTGTTAGCAATTTAAAAATCTTCATAACTCAGCTTCTTCCCACCATTCTAGTCTTCTGACAATTTACTTCCCTCCACACTCTCTATGCAACTATTACAATGTTGTTCTTCAGTCTTTTTCAGTCATGTCATACTCTCTATGACCCCATTTGGGGTTTTCTTGGCAAAGATGCTGAAGTGGTTTGCCATTTCCTTCTCTAGCTCATTTTACAGATGAGGAAACTGAGGCCAACAGGATTCAATGACTTGACCGGGGTCACATAGCTAGTAAGTGTCTGAGGCCAGACTTGAACTCAGATCTTCCTGACTCCAGGTCCAGCACTCTATCCATTGCACCACCTCCTTGCAGTTTTTCAAACACACCACTCCATTTTCCATCTCTGTAAGTTTGTGCTAGATCTCTCCAAAGTCTGGAATACTTCCTTCCCCTCTGCTTTTTGGTTTGCCTGGCTTCCCTGAAGACTCAGCTCAAAGGTTACCTTCTTTGGTAGGAATTTCCGCCCTTTCAGATTATTTGTCATTTACTTTGTACATATTTTGTATGTAACTAGTTAGAAGTTGTCACCCTCATTAGAATGGAAACTCTTTGAGGGTAAAGCCTTGTTTGTTTTGCTTTTCTTTGTATCTCCAGGACATGCCACCATGCCTAGCATTTGTTGTTCAGCCATTAAGTTATGTCTGACTATATATGACCCCATGGAAAGTGTATGGGATTTTCTGGTGGTTTGCCATTTCCCCCTCCAGTGTGTCCCCATCTTACAGATAAGGAACTGAGGCAAATAGGGGTTAAGTGACTTGCCCAGGGTCACATAGATAGCAAGTGTCAGAGGCCAAATGGGACCTAAGATCTTCCTGATTCCAGGCCTGGTGCTCTATCTACTTCACCATCTACCTGTCTGCCTGGTCTTAGCAAAAACTTAATAAATGCTCACTGAGTGAAGTCCAAAGCGGGATCCTTATTCCAGGTTGCCTCTTAGGAGTAATGTGAGTGGAGTTGTGAAGATTTGCCTTTTAATAAACCAGATTAATGCCCTAGGGGAAAGAAGGCAGAATATGAGCCTTCAAACTGGCCTGAGGGAAGTTTTAGGCAAAAGATCTTTGCAGTTGGTCTGAATGGCCTTGAAAGGCAAGATGTTTCCAACTTAAAAGAATTAATATTAACCAAAAAAAGCCTGAGAAACTTTAGTTAGGACTTAGTTATGAAAGTTTACCCAGCTTGAAAATGATTATATATATATATGTATATGTATTTTATGTTAATTTCCAATGACCTTAACCTGTCGTATCATTTCTGAATTTGTATATTTCTTCTCATTGATAAACAAATTCTAGAAAATACCCTCGTGTGGTCATGCTACTGACTTCCCTGGCTTCCATTAAGTCCCAACTAAAATTCCACCTTTTACAGGAAGCGTCTCTGAACCCCTCTTAGTTCTAATGCTTTCCTTTGTTAATTATTTCCTATCTATGCTGTACATAATTTGCTTTGTATATATTTTTTTCTCCCCCATCCGAATGTTTGTTTCTTGAGGTCAAAGACTGTCTTTTGCCTCTTTTTGCATCCCTAGTGCTTAGCACACAGTAGGCACTAAATAAATGCTTATTGATTGATTTATTGTAGTCTGGAGTGTGTTGACAAAAAGACTAGAAAGGAAATAAGCAATTGAGTCCTGGAACTGGGCACCATGATAGGTGTAAGTGGATATAAATGGATAGAAAGTGGGAAGGTTGGAGTTCAGTAGATATCTGACCCCTAGAACCCCACGGGACTCATGAGACAGAGAAGGTCAATCAATTAATCCATTATCTTTTATTAATGTTAGCAGTGTGCCAGATCCTGTGCTCAGTGCTAGGGATACAAAAACAAATGTGAAAAGGGCACTCATCTAAGAAGCTAATTTTCTAGAAGTCAACATGTATGGCCATATGTTTATAAAGAATAAATAAAAAATAAATATGAGGAAATTAAGGGAAGGAGACCTAGTGGTTGGGTGAGGAAGGGTCACGAAAAGTTTTATGTAGAAAGTGGTACTTGAGTTGAGTCTTGAATAAAACAAGGATGCTATGAAACAGGAGTGAGGGTCACATCAAAACTCTCATGCATGAATCAGACCCTTGTTCTTTGGATGATGTAAAGGCTAGGATTTTCAATCACTGAGCATCAGCTAGTTCTTCATAAAGTTCCAAAATCTAAAAGTTTTTACAAAGTTCTAAAATCAACTAGAGTGTTTTAACCATTACACTGAATTTTATGCTGAATTTTAATAAGAAACATATTGATATTTTAAAATTTTGGTTAATTAGCCTTTCAAATATTTGGTAAGGTTTTTTTTTTGTTATTTTGAAGTCATAGTAACTTAAAAGTGCATTAAGACTTTTGGGATCCCCAGTTAAAGAGAACTGCTCAATCGATCCTGTTGACTTAGTATGAAGCTCTACTCTTGTATCCTTGCTCTCATTATCCTGTACCCTTTGTTTGGGTTCTTTTGTCCATTGACCTAAAACCCTGATGGCTAATTTCCCTGGACTCTGGACCCTCCTTAAGCCTATTGTTGTTATTCATCTCCCCCCTTTTTTTTGTTTGTTTTTTTTTGTTTTGGCTAGGCAATGGGGTTAAGTGACTTGTCCAGGGTAACACAGCTAGTAAGTGTTATGTGTCTGAGGTTGGATTTAAACTCAGGTCCTCCTGAATCCAGTGCCAGTGCTCTATCCACTGCTTCATCTAGATGCCCTCATCCTTCGTTTTTCCAAGAGGGCCAATGATATCACAGGGTGATGTTTTGACTTGTGTATGAATTGGATTTAAGTGAGTTGCACAAAGTTGTCAGCCTCATTCTCTCTTCTAGAGTCATCAAAGGCCACTGCAGTAAACTGCTTGCCATCTAGAAATTTAGAGGGAGTCCTGAGTAACAGGATTACATATTATAATATATGATGTATTATATTATTATTAAATATAATATAATATAATATATAATTATATATAATAACAGCCATATTAGGGCATTTCTACTGGAAGAACTGGTCAGTTAGGTGGTGAAGTGGATAAAACACTGGGCCTGGAGTCAGGAAGACAAATCCTGCCTCAGATACTTACTAGTTGTGTCATCCTGGGCAAGTCATTTAAGCTTTTTTGCCTCAGTTTCCTCATCTGTAAAATGAACTGGAGAAGGAATGGCAAACCACTCCAGTATCTTTTCCAAGAAACCCAAATGGGCTCATGAAGCATTGGACACAATAGAAAAACAAACAAAACGACTGTACTAGAAGAGCTACAGCCACATTGTTATCTGCATAAGGCAGCCTAGGGAACCTCTGGTATACAGTCTGAAGCTTTAGCAGATGTGAGGATTTAGTAGCTGGATAGTGGATTATTTGAAGATCAATAGCTGTCTTACTCCATGCAAATCCCTGGATTGAAGACAG